TTCATGTACGTGAACAGCAAATTTATTTGCACGAATGCAATGGATGCTGCTGCAATGTTTTGGACCCAGAGAAAACCCCAACGACCCAGACAAACGCCCAGGCCCCTACGCTAGCCCCCAGTCGAGCTGAAGCTGTAGTCGCTTCTATTTAGAAAATTTGCCTGCGACTCTGCGTTGCGCTGTCAAAGTTTGCTTCGGCGCCGGCCTGACGTGCACCATAAAAGTCTGTTGCATAAACCAATTTCCCATTTGCTCGCACAAATGCATCTCTGTGGGCGCTGGGGGCGTGGCAAGCCAGAGTTAGGCTGCTTGGGCCTTAACTCAGTTTTGGGTTGCTTTGCCGGCGCGATGGGAGCGAACGAAGGGGGGGAGTTGTAGGGTGGCTGATTGCTCGTGGGTGGGGATTATGCAAACGTTTGGCGCTGTCAACGCAAGTTGTTCGCATTGGAAATTCGATTCGAACGCAACTGGCCCCAACTCCGCTAGCTCCCGCCTGCAACCCACCCCCCTTCAGGCAAATCGTCGCTGATAACGTAAACCGCTTTGATTTTTATTTAACTGCACATTTCGCTTAGGGCGTCGCAGCTTCAATGGCATCCCCCCTCCCCCAACTCCGCCTAAAAGTTCTACTGTCCTATTCCTCTATAACACACCGCCCACCCCCCCCCCTCCTCCTTCACCGACCGAACTAACTCCTCCCACTGCAATCTACCAATTTCTGAGCCCCATTTCGCATTCAGCTCTATTGACGTTTAATGGCAACTTGTGGTGAATTTTTGCTGTCGTTGCTCGAATTGCTGCGGTTTTCTGAACCGAATTTTCATGAATTTTCACGAATTTTACCAGTTGGCAATTTCACAATGTTTTTTTTTCGTTCTGTTTTGTGCATTTTCCATTTTCCACGTATTTCTTTTATTTATGTATTTATTTATTCGCTGGCTGCTCAGTTGCCGTTGAAATTGATAATTTAGAAAATTGCTAGCAAATATCAGAGCAAATGTCGCGACACCCACTCCACTCCACCCAAACACCCAACCCCCCCCACCCACAAAACCAACCCGACCCGCAATCATCGATGCGGGCGTAAAATTTGCTGCATTTGCCAATCAATTTGCAATGGATTTTGAGCACGCGTCTATCCAGTCACACGATACCCCTATTGGATGCCCAAATCATTAAGCATATGCTTTGCATAATACTCTGGCAATATGTTTTTAAATTCTCAATGCAAAGATCAAATTGTTAATATAATATGTTGCTAAGCATTCCAATTAAATACGATTATTATATATTTAGAGTAAAAAGGATATATTAGTAAACATTCTTTAATATCTATATATACAACTTTGCAACCAGACTGACTGACTGACTGATTTACTGACTGATTGACTGAGTGATTGACTGGTTGACTGACTGACTGACTGACTGATTGACCGACAGACTGACTGATTTACTGACTGATTGACCTACAGACTGATTGACCGACAGACTGACTGATTTACTGACTGATTGACTGAGTGATTGACTGATTTACTGACTGATTGATTGACTGATTTACTGACTGATTGATTGACTGGTTGACTGACTGACTGACTGACTGATTGACCGACAGACTGACTGATTTACTGACTGATTGACCTACAGACTGATTGACCGACAGACTGACTGATTTACTGACTGATTGACCTACAGACTGATTGACCGACAGACTGACTGATTTACTGACTGATTGACTGAGTGATTGACTGGTTGACTGACTGACTGACTGATTGACCGACAGACTGACTGACTGACTGATTTACTGACTGAAACTCTTTTGCTTACCATCCGAACGGCCTCGAACTCATATTCAAAGATCTTTGTTCAAATTCATTGGAGGGGTACTTCAAACATTTCGAAAAATCCATTCCTCCTTAGTGTAAATCGGGGTCCAGGGATTCGACTCAAAGTATACTTAACTTTGGTATCGATTGCATTTATCCAAGCATAATTGGCAAATGCCAGTTTCGGATGGAGCTCAAATTCAGTCTGCAACTTTTAAATAAAAATATAATTATTATTAGTATGTTAATATTATTATTATGAGAGTTGTCTTATATAAATTTAAAAAAAAATAACGACAAGTCAAGGTTTAAACGAAAAGCTGGATGCAAGGCTTTGGAGAGCTAGTTTCACGAACCGAGCCCAAAGAAAGGAACATTATTAAGCACATTATTTCCTCATATAAAGTAACTTAAGAAACTCCAATAAATCTATATAAAAAAAAACATACCTTTAACCTTACTCTTCAAGGTCTAGAAATCCCAGCTCCGTAGCCTGGCAATCGTAATCAATCAGGGCCGACTTTAGCTTCTGAAACTTTCTCACACAGCTGACTGCTGCATTTAGTTAACTCTGTCAGCACTGAAAAAAAGGAGAAGCGCTTACCAACACTTTCTTTTTCTGCTACTGCTACTCTGCTGATGCATTGCACCCACTGCTTATGGGAGAGCAGCCCATTAAGAGTGTACGTATCTATTTGGCGCTTTGCTGTTTATGTTATAAACAGTACAGGGTATGACAATTCTGTCACTGGGCTTGTAACAAATTGAGTTACTATTTATATAGATGTTAACGTGACGCTAATCGGGAAATTATATAGAGGCGAGCGTGTGTCTAATTCAATGTTTAAAGCTCCAGTGTTATATTTTACGTTTAACAACACGCACCAATAATTTTATATATATGCATATATATAGGATAAATGAGAGGGTATTCGGAGTTTGAGACGCACCGAAAATAGAACATTACTTTCTTGTTTTTATTGAAATTTATGATTTCTGACACAAAATTTATGTTGTTTTGCATTATGTGTGTACACTTTTGTGTGTGTGTGTGGTTAAAAGCATAAAATAAACCTCGAATGCTCGTAAAATGGCATACGTACAAACCCCAAACGACCCCACGCGGAACCCGGACTCCGTAAATACCATCGCCTTTTTTTTTTTTTGTTTGTTCAGTTGCGCTTCTTGAGCCCTTCCGGTAGTCTAGCCACACGTATACACGGGCCAAATTGCCCAAACCCTGTCTCTCCCCTGGCCACCCTCCCCCCCCCCTTACCCCTTCCCATACTCACGCTATCACTTTCGGTGTGCGTGTGTGTGTGTGTGTGTGGCTTGTGCGGTTTTCATTTGGCCCAGCGTTGGCGCCCAGACCAACGCGCGTGAATTATTTAATTCGAATAAATATTGAAAACTCAATTTTTTATGATGTTTTCTTGTTGGTTTATTGCGCTTTTGTGGCATTTTAATATCGAATAACCTTGCCCCGGCAAGTGTTGCCCGTTGTCTGCCTGTGCGAGTGTGTGTGTGTGTGTGCGTGTGTGCGTGTCTTGAACCTACAGTCAGCCCGAGTGTGCTGCGTGTGTGCTGCATGTGTGTGTAAATAAACAGCCGTAAAACTCAAATTATTATACTTATCCACATAATAGTTAAGATACACATGAAAGTTTATTGATGCCACGCACACAGTTTATCGTTTATCGCCTTACTCCACATTTGTAAATCGATTGTCTTTTACACAGTTTATCGCTCTGAAATACAATCGAGCTACAAATTTGAAGCGATGCCAAACAATTTCGAGCTAATTATGTGAGAGAAGCAAGCGATTATATAAAATGGCGCCCAACGTGGGACGCAGTATGCAAATCATTTTTAATTGTATTCCAAGAATAAGCGCTTCAAGAGATTTTTATGCTCTTAAGTACAAGATAATTAATCGATAAGTACCGAAAGCTGCTTTAAAACTAATTCCACTTGGACATTTAAGGCAAGCCCTAGGCAAAAGCGTACCTATAAAGCCAAAATGAATTCAGACTAAGTCGACTTAGTTTATGAATAAATATAACATTCACCTTAACTATACGAATTGAATGGGTCAAACTCAAGAATAAGAATGAGAAGGATCTTTGTCGTCTACTTAAAATATTTTTAGCATAGAACGTTCAGGAATTTATAAAATGAGTTATGATTTTAAAGATGTATGAAAAGCCAAGACTTGAACCAAAGCCTGGCATCATAAATGTGGAGTTCCTGCCACGAATCGAACCACTGACAGAATTTGGGTTTGCTTTTGCAGACTTACCTTTAAATTGTGTTCGGTTTTGAAGTCATGTGTAAAATTGCAGCCCTATGCACTTGAAATTGTTTAGTTTTACTGTAATCCCTTGCGGGGCAATACAAATGGGCAAGTCTTCGTCTCTTCGTCTTCCAAATAAGTAGATGTGCATATACATATTTTAGGCCATAACTGTACGAATTATCCACACAACTGGACTGAAAACAGAAACAAGCAAGTCCGTCTGACCATATGCCCGTGTGTTTGTTTTGTGTGTGTGTGTGTGTGCTTAGCCATAAGTTGACTGTACACACATTTACTATGCGAAATAATCCCCAATAGAAGAAAATTGTGTAAAATTTTGTGCTGGTTCCACTGATTAAGAATGGCTTACTGGCTGGTTGTCGGACGATGCCAGTCATCCAGTCATCCAGTCAGTCAGTCAGTCAGTCAGTCAGGCACCCCTGGGGAAATCCTTTGAAAACCGAAAGATGTATGGACCATTCCAGCATCTAATATGTGCGAATTTTATCAACAACGATACTGTCTGCCATACAAAAGGCGCACAAGGATGAAGGCAACCGACATGGAAAATCGCAATAATAATTTTCCATTTCGTCCTTCTGTTTGTCTGCGTTTCTCTCTCTCTGTGTGTGTGTGTGAAGGGTGGCTCCTAACTCTTAAGTGGGTAATACTCGTAGTTGTAACCGCATACTGTATGCATGGTATGCCGGGTCCGGGCATGTGCCCAAATATGCCAAGTGGACAATTGCAGTGGCCAGTCCCTGCAGGCGGCTTCAGGAACTGTGCAATGGGCTCTGGTGCTCCAATTAGATGTGATTTTGGGCAACGACCATTGGCGGCGAAATCTGACAGGCAAATTGAAACAGACTCCTCGCTTTGCATATGCTCAACTATATATAACTTATATTTGTTTGTAGTTCAGTGTAGATTACAGTTTCCGTAACAGTTGGAATAAATTGTACAATGCGTTTACAGATACATCTCAGATCCACTCTCGGCCTTAAACTCGTTGCTCATTAGGTTATACGATATTGGGGGTACATGGGGCTCATAGGTACTTTATGCGTATCAGTATATCGGGTTTCTCGTAAAGCCTTGTTTTAGTATCTTAGCATTCAACGGGATGCAGAAAGCCCCGGATATGTTCAGCCAGCCGGTTTCTGCATAGCAATACAAATTCTGTTAATATTACTGATATCAATTAATAAGAAACCGAATGCTTACCCCAGATGCTGTCCCTTACGGCTGGTCAACTTGGAATACAGTACTAGCAATATCAGCGCCTGACCAGCTATCAAGAGTCCTTGTTTGGTGTAGTTGTTGCTTATCCAGATACTGGGCTTCTTGTTTTCCAGATTCTTTTCGGCATACAGTTCCGATAAGCCTCGTTCCTGTCGCCGTTGGGCACTCAACCTGCTGTCTTCCAGATTTTCACGACCATAAAGATTATCACGCGCTTCTTGTCGGAGGCTAACGCGTTGTTCTCGGTTAAGATTATCTTGACGCAGATCAGTGCGTTCTCCATGCCGAGCGGGATCGGCGTCCCGCTCTTCTCTATCTGATACATCACGCTCCTCGCGTCGAAGATGGTTGCGTCGGGTTTGCTCGTCATTGGCATCGGACTGACGATTGACTCGTTCCTGCCTTCGTGTTATATCTTTCACCTCCCGTCGCAGATCCTCCCGATTATCTTCATCCACACGTTCTCTTCGTAGAAGGTTGGCACGTTCCTCACGTCGGAGATGGTCGCGGTCATCCTGTCGGCGATCGCCGCGTCGTGCTTCGATGTCATTTACATTACGCTCCCGATTTTCCTGTTCCTGTCTTTGTGCTAGGTCGTCCTCCATTCGTCGCATCGCCTCACGACTCACACGCCTTTCCGTGCGTTCCACATCGACACGTTCCTCTCGTTCCACCAGTCGGTTATCGACTCTATCCTCTCGTCTGCGATCATCACGTTCTTCACGTCGGGAAAGCTGTTCTTGTCGTGTGCCTAAACGGTTCCAAGTATCGAACCTCTTAAGCTCATCTCGCTCCTTTCGTCGTGTCAGCACATTCTCTATTCGATTTACTCGCAGCTCATGTCGCTCCACATCCGCAATTTGGCGGGTTGCACGCTCCTGTCCTCGAATTGTCTGTCGGCGATCGTCGCGTTCCTCCCGTGGAGAGAAATCATCTTGTCGCACTTCTGTGTAAATAGTATGACGATTTGTATCTCGATCTTCACGATCTTGTCTTCGAGAAACAGATCGTTTCTCACGTCGTAGATCGTCTCGTTCCTCACGGCGATATAGCTCTTCCTGTCGGACTTCAACCCGATTAATCTCTTCACCATAGCGAGAATCCAACCCGTTTTCTCTTTCCTGCCTTCGTGTCAGTTCGGTTTCCTTCCGTCGCATACTGTCTCGATCCATTCGCCCTTCCAGTTGCTCAGTGTTTACAAGATCGAGTTCTTCTCGCTCCTGTCTTCGAGAATCATCTCGTTCTGCCTGTCGGAGAACTTCTCGTTCATTGTGTCGATTTTCATGCCGAACTTCCACATGGTCCCGTTGTTCTCGCTCCTCTCTTCGAGATACTTCTCGTTCCTCACGTCGGAAAACGTCTCGTTCTTCATTTAGGAGGTCATTACGTTCCTCCCGTCGAAAATCATCTTGCTTCTCCCGACGGCGATCATCACGTTCTTCACGTCGAGCGAGATTGATGCGTTTCATGTGCCTGTGCGTTACATCAAGTTCCGCCTGACGCATGCCCTCTCGACTGACTCGCCTTTCCATACGTTCTGTATCCAAACGTTCAACTCGTTCCTGCCGTGCAAGATCGTCGGATTGCTCCTGTCGGGGATCCTCACGTCGAGCGAGATCTCCACGTCGTACTTCCAGGTCAATGGAACTACGCTCACGACGTTTACTTTCTTGGCGAATCGGGTCAGTCCCCACTTGTCGCATATCCTCTCGACTCACTCGCCTTTCCATACGATCTGCGTCCACACGTTCAACTCTTGCCTCACGGCGACGATCATCGCGGTCCGTCTGTTGGTTAATCTCGCGCCCCTCCCGCAGGGATCGATCGTTTCTTTGTGCAGCTCGAGTATCCACCAGCTGGAGATCTTCTCGCACTAGACGGAAAGAACTTTCATTTTGTCGATTTAATTGCCTGTCTTCACGCTCTTGTCTTCGAGATACATCCCATTCTTCACGCCGGCTATCATATTGTATCTTACGATCATCACGTCTAACAAATTCATCTTCACGCTCTTGTCGTCGGGATGTATCTCGTTCTCCTTGACGAAGATTGGTTCGATCCTGTCTTCGGATATCATCGCGCTCCAGTTGACGATAATCTGTCTTTTCGTCTTTCCGGAGATCAGCAAGGTCTTCTTGACGATAATCGGCGGGCTCTTCTCTTCGGAGATCTTCGCGATCTTCTTGGCGAAAATCGGCACGTTCTTCTCTTCGGAGATCTTCGCGTTCTTCACGAAGATCGGCGCGATTTTCTCTTCGGAGCTCTTCGCGTTCTTCTTGACGAAAATCGGCGCCTTCTTCTCGTCGGAGATCTTCCCGTTCTTGATGAAAATCGGCTCGATCTTCTCTTCGGAGATCTTCACTTACTTCTCGACGAAAATCGACGCGTTCTTCTGTTCGGAGATATTCGCGATCTTCTCTGCGGAGATCTGCGCGTTCTTCTTGACGGAAATCGGTGCGTTCTTCTCTGCGGAGATCTTCGCGTTCTCGACGGAAATCGTCGCGATCTTCTCTTCGGAGCACTTCGCGTTCTTGACGAAAATCGGCTCGATCCTCTCTTCGGAGATCTTCACGTTCTTCTCGACGAAAATCGACGCGTTCTTCTGTTCGGAGAACTTCGCGATCTTCTCTTCGGAGATCTTCTCGTTCTTCTTGACGGAAATCGGTGCGTTCTTCTCTGCGGAGATCTTCGCGTTCTCGACGGAAATCGTCGCGATCTTCTCTTCGGAGAACTTCGCGTTCTTCTTGACGAAAATCGGCACGTTCTACTCTTCGAAGATCTTTGGGTTCTACTTGAAGAAAATCGGCGCGTTCTTCTCCTCGGAAATCTCCGCGTTCCTCCCGTTGAATATCATTTCGTTGAATTTCCATGCGACGGTCTTGACTGTCTTCACGAGCATCCAACTGGACACGTTCTTCCCGCTCTACTCGTCGTGACAGCTCGTTCTCCACTCGCCGAAAAGAACGTTCAGTCTGCAGATTGTCTTCTCGATTCAACTGGCTGCTGCGATCCTCGAGCTTTTCAATGCGCTCACTTGGTTGTCTATAAACAAGATGCTCGTCATAATCATCCATCTCGCTTCGGCGACTTTCCATCAAACGATGCAGTGGCTGTAGAGTACACTGCTGCTGACGGCTGCTGCATGCCTGGTTGTTGGCCTGGGCAATCTCCAAGCTGCCCAGTTGGAGAAGGAGTATAAGAAAGTTAAGCCTCATCCATTGTCGGTTAGCGGCCATCCTGGCGTTGCAGTTACTCCCAAGTGAAGACGTCTTTCAGCTACAGTTATCAGCACCGGTCTTGGGATTGAAGTGGTCTCTGTGGTAGCCGTTACTTCAGCAAGCCTCGAAGCTCGAATGACTTATCCGGTTGCCTTGCCGTGTATTTATACCAAAAGTTTAGCCCAGGACTCTGTACGGCAACGCCCACGCGGCGCTTGAGACGCAGTATTCCAAATGAACCTCAATTTCCCGTTGATTGATTCAATTTCGCTTATCGCACATGTGCACCACTGCGCTTTGGCCAAGGCAAACGACTTCAGCACCAACTCCGCTCAAGTGGGTCTAATGTGTCAGGGCTGTTTTCAATTTAAGCATTTTATGAATGAAATTCATTTAGACCCACTGAGCCTGCGACGTCACTGATGACAGTGTAGGGTAGTCTATTGATTCCCATACCACTTGAGTCCCGAGGAAACAGGAATAATTTAATGGAAAGTAGAGCGGACGCATATATAGTATACAAAGTTCCAGACATTCACTTATGTGTCTGTTATAAACACATCCGCTCAACTTTCCATTATATTATTTCGATTTCCCCAAGACTCAACTAGTATGGGAATCAATATATATACATATATATATTGTATACCCTTGTAGAGCGCATTATAACTTTGTTATGAAATATGTAACGCTTAGAAGGAGACATCTCCGACCTCAACAGTCGAGTAGATGGCCATGCCCTTCTGTTCGCCTGTCTGTTTCTATCCTTCTTAAAGGTTATATTTTATCTATGACTTAGGCTTTAAGTTATAGAAACTTTTTAGATATATATTTGTTATTGCGTACTCACCGGTAAATTCACACGCATGATTCCCTTATCGTCATTTTTCAGTTGGCAGGCGACGAACTTTCGTTTAAACACAACTCTGAAGAAACAGAAAAGCAGAGATATTGGCTTATAAACGCAAATTGCTTGATAAACCTTACTTGAATTAGTGAGAATCGCGTAGTAGAGCAATATTTCAAAATACGTTTCTTGTTCATTCATATACTCAGATGTATTTGAATATATGCAAACAAACATGAATGCATACGATCGTAATAGTTGTTACTTTTATTTTAAACATATAATAAGACATAGTTATGTATACAATACGTACCAGTTTTTTTCAATGGCTACATTTAAAATTGATGCCGCCTCCTCTGCCAAAGCCATAGCCACGGCCACCTCCATATTTGAATCTGCCTCCTATATTAAAGCCACCTCCTTCTTAGTTGAAGCCGTGTCCTCCTATATTAAAGCCACTGCCTCCTTATTAGCTCAAGCCGACGCCATCTCTATAGTTGCAGTCGTCTCCTCCTATGTGAAAGCCGCCTCCTGCTTAGTTGCAGCCGCCTCCTTCAGTATTACAGCCGCCGCCTCATATACTTTAAGTGAAGCCTTACTTGAGTTTATGAGAATCGCGTAGTAGGGCATTAGTTAAGAATACGGTATTTTTTTAATTCGAACCGCAGCTAGAGGTAAACTTTGTCTTGCATATAAACATACAAAATATATGCATACAATCACATACATATATAAATGCATACATATTTATATACATGCATCCACACATACAGAAATGCATACATACGCACACATACATGCATGTATACATACATACATACATGCATACATGTGCTGCATCTTCCCAAACTATGGGAAATTCCTTCTTCGGTGCTTTTAGTCCGATTGTTCTAAAATTTTCTAGAGGCAGGTATTCGTAAATTCAAATATTCTGGATTTGTGCTCAGCTTGAAGATGCTTAGATATGATGAAGAAATCCAATCTGAAAATGATATTTAACAAGATTGTCTAAGCGGGATGAGATATGTAACTGAGGATGTCGCTTGTTGCCTGTTGCATACTTTTGCGCAAGTCCAATATACCCTTCTCTCGGCAGTTCAGTGAGTGAGTTCGGGGTATAGAAACCATTACCATTACATTGCATACAAGAGAGCACAATTTATGTGTATGTGTATGGAACTTTAGATTTAAGTACTCTAGACCAATCTTTCCAGTCGAGCTCACTCATTCAGAAAACTTTATATAAACATATTTTTGTATGTGCAGCTATATGGGCCTCAATATTTTATATACTAACCACTGGAACGGAATAAAGTAGAGGCGTGTGACGTCAAAGCTATATATCCCGGGCAGGCTCTTCTTAGCCCGGCGCTGCGCCTAGGCCGTGTGCACAAGTGCGATAAGCGCGCCTGCAATCAAAATCGAATTAGGGCGCAATTGAACAATATGCTGGCTCAGTGTTGGACAAGCGCTAAATAAATGAATTAGGTTAGATGCGCATCGGGGCGTTAAATTGTCTCCACCAGCGACGCAAATGCGACCCAGCCGAATCGCTCCTATAAAAGCAGCTGCCAGTGTTCCACACGCCCGACAATTGTGCTCCAACCTGGGGCCGAGCTGGAGGCGCCGCGTCCTCGATGCGGCGGCGGCGGCGGCAGCCGCGAGTCTACCAGGTGAGCTAAGGAGCCTACCAAAAGTCAATCCTAATACTTGGTCACACCTTTTCAGCGACTCGCAGCAGCAGCTATTTTTTTTTGAACAACACTTTTAAGGACTACCCTACTAGCAAGGAAGATGTGAGTCGCCGCTATGGAAAATTGAAAAAATCAAATCAAATAAAATTCGTTAAACTTTGTGTTCCTTGAAGGAAATTAAGCACAGCTACAGTTGCAACCATTTGTTAACCGGCCCAAAATGGATGTACGTAAACTACTTAACCCCATATTTTACATATATGCATCATAATATATATATACATATGTATAACTACGCTAACTCAGCGATCGTATACCAAAGTTAAATGTTGCTGTTGTTTGGGATCGTATTGTCAACAGAATATATATTATTGTCAAGATTCGACTAGCAATCGACACTATTACTCAATATCTATACCATATTACTATATATATATATATATATATGATATATGTATTCGTTCAACTTATTTGGCTATTGTTACTATTATAACTATGTATGTCATGCCTGTAAAGACAACATACAAGAAGCACATATGATAATATACTTACACAATATATAAACGTGTCCATGTTCGGCACAGGTATTCTATAAGCACAGAAACCACTCAAAACCTATACTCGTAAATCGCAAAATAAACTCCTATTATCCATATGTTGAGCAAACGAAAACTTAAACCTATTGTTATTATTAGCATTGAATAATCTGTGTGGCTATTTCAGCAAACTTTCTGCTTGGGGCTTGGAATTCTCAACTAGTTACAGCTTCGAGTGAAGGCATTGACAAGCCCAGAGTCGATAGAAAAGTCTGCTGATGAAAGCTATAGTTGCCAGATATAGTGGATGCCAAATTAATCAAGAACCCAAGAAATGATCAAAGACCCAAACCTCGTGAAAATCAGATGAGATTTGAATAAGGTATAGGGGTGGAAATTTTGATCATATCTATATAGGATATTAGAGGGTACCATTTGCACATGAATTTTGACCAAGAATAATGTTGTCAGATTAAGATGCCAAATTGATATAGAGGCCAAGAAACGAACAAAGACCCAAGCCTCGTGAAAATCAGATGAGATTTGACCAAGCTATGGGGGTGGGAAATATTCACCTATGTCTATATAGGATAATAGCGGGTATAGCCCGGATTTGCCAGTGGCACATTTAAAATAAATTCTCTGAAAGATCTTTGAAAATGAATTTGTGGCCGATCGCATGGTAAAGAAAAAAGTTGCATACAAATGTTTTCAGCGAAACCTCGTCTTAACGTGCACCTTCATCAGTCAGTCAGTCAATCAGTCAGTCAGTCAGTCATTTCATAATAAAATTATAATAGATAACATTTTACAAAAACTTAGTTCTCAAAAGATAGTTACCATGCGCCGCGATGCGGTCCATTGCGAACGATTCCAATATATAAACTGCCTGCAATAGAAAAAGAGACTTGGCTGTTGGTACTGATCGAGAATATATATATATATATATGCTTTAAGGATTGTCAGAGATCTTCCTCTATGTGTTACACATTTTATGAGAAGCTTAGTCGAAAGTTAATTTTTTTTTTGAAAGTTTATATTTTTATTTGTTATTATATTTTGTTTACTCTTTACAATTATTGCAATTTCATTGTTTGTTACATTTTCAATGCCCTTTGCTGCGTTGCCATTTTGAATTGTCTTCTTTTAGTTTGTTTTCATCAATAATTATTTAATATTCGTGTGTGTGTGTGTGTGTGTGTGTGTGTGTGTTCTCCTTGTTTAAAAATGAGCAAATTAACAAAGTTGTAAATTGTTTGCTAATTTTCATTTAAATAGTTAAATGTTCATTTAAAATATTATTTCCGTTCTTGTTATTGTTGCTGTTGCTGTTGTTGTTGTTGTTGTTGTGGTTGTCATTTGAATCGAAAGAGTTTAAAAACGTGGCACATTTGCATAAATTTGAATTATAATTTGTTATTTGTTTTGAATACGATCCTTTGTATATTTGATTTAAATGTGCGGCTTATTAATCGCATTTAGCTAGTTTTGTTGTCCTCGGTTTATCGTGTTATTAATAATTCATTTGTATTTTGTACATTCCTGTTACTTAATTCAATTCAACAATGTTCTTATATGTGTTGTTTCGTTTTTTTTTTTTCTTTTGTTTAACAATAAACTTAATGGTTTTATCAACTTTGTTACCAATTTTAAACGTCTTACAAATAAACAAGTTTTGATTAAAAACACATTTAAAATTTCACTTGGCCAAAGTGCGTTTCGATTGGTTCGAAAGAGAGAGAGAGAGAGAGAGAGATAGTGTAATATATAGGAAGAAATAGAGAGAGAGAGAGAGAGAGAGGGGGCTTGCGAATAAGTGTGTGTGTCAACAAATTTGTATAATTTTCTATTTGCTTTTTTGTTTGTTATTAATATAAATTTTCTTATGTTTTTTTTTTAAGGTTCGCTGTTTATGCTGAGCTTTAACAACAGTCGTCGATTTTGTGTTTTGTTTTTTTGTTTTTTTGGATTTGTTTCTCATAGATTATATAAACAAATTTAACATTAGTTTCGCACTTCGATTTGATTTGATTAAATATCATTTCTCATATTTATTATTGATTGCAATTAACATTTCATATTTTGCATTAAACATCATTTTCATAGTGAGTTTATAATTTTTGTTAATTTTTTCTATAATTTTTTTTAATTATTTTTTTTTTTTTTGCATGCCATTTGTTTTTTAACTATAAATTTTGATGTAAAATTTGTGTCTTGTTCGTTCTATAAATTTGGTTGTTAATCTCTAAAAACTACATATATATATATATATATATATGTATATATGCATGGGTGTGTATATATTTGTATTATGCACTAAAATAGTTAAAACTGAAAAATGCCTGCATTTCATATTGCATAAACAACATATGGTTTCTCTATAATTATCCAAACAGCATTGTGATAAATGTTAGCTTTGGCTTCATTTGCTTTATACCCGACTTAAGTGTAAATGTTGTATGTATATTATAATATTGTTCGTGATATACTAGAGCATCTATTAACTAGTGTGTGTATAGCTCTATATAAAGATTGCGCTCAAGCGCAACATATTTGAATTTTCATATGCAAATAGTTGGCTGTCTCATAAGATACGCTACAAAATGCCGCAAAATGGAACTTAACTTAAAACAATTAAATTTGTATAATAATAGTAATAAATAAATGTTCGCGTCAGTTGTCAGAAATGCAGTTCGAAAGTTATAGAATGCTGCTAATGCCTGACCTAGAACCTATAAAATTGATAAATTTGAAAATGTTGTTGGCTCACTTTGTTAGCCTCACTAGCAACGCTTTACATAATATTACTTTGTTTAATTTATAGTGTGTGGTTTTTCTATTTTGTTTCTGTTTTTGCTTTCGGTTAGTTGGGGGGCTTATGCCTTAAACAACTGGGGAAATTCGTTGGCTATCTCGCGCACCAGCTGCTGATCGGATGCGCTGCATTCGGTCTCCTCGCAAAAGATGCGCGTAAAGATCTTCATCAGATCATGCTTGCGATGCTGATGCTCCTGATAGTTTGTGTTGCGCAAGATGCGACGGCACAGCTCCAAATAACAAGGGCGTGTCTGCCAACAAAAGAGACAGACAGAGAGAGAGAGAGAGAGAGAGATAGGTTAGTCGATTTTATTTGTCCATCTCATCTTACACATTAATTTCACAATTACAAACAAAATTGTAAGAAACATCAAGAAGTATCTCGCCTTGTCCGGCACATTTAAGAGCCCCATATTTAGCGCTGGCTAAGAAACTCTTTACTACTCTCCTTCATATACACTGTCCCGCCTCTATTGCACAAAGAAAACTTGTTTTCATTTAATATATGTAAAAGACAATCCCACATTTCCCATTTGAGCCCTTAGAGCCTTTAACTTCGTGCTCAGTGTGCCAATGTTAAGCACACCACGCTGCAAATTCGAACCATTTTAATTAATATCCACTAATTTTCAATTTATTTTTTATGTATTCAATTAGTTTAGAGCTTTTTCTTTGTGAATAGTTACTGCTGAATTTGAACTGGCCACCTGACGCTTAAAAGACAGCTTAATTTAGAATACAGCTTTTTAACCCTTGTAACCCATTCAATCATTCAGACAGTCAGGACTATCCCTTTTAAGTACGAATAAAACCAATTTTAAACAAGTAAGAGGTTCTAGTCGGGAGCTCCCGACTAGGGGATACCCTGAACCGTCTTCTTCCGACAGGCGATAGGTATAAAATGAAAGATACTTGATATATATACATATACTATTATGGAAGCTACATGTCAAGTTTGGTGACTCTAGCTCATATTATTTGCCGAAATTGCTCAAATAACAGGATCGATTTCGAATATCGGAAACAAACTCGATCTGCGCGGGCACTAGGAGGACCTACAGCTAAAATTTCAAGTCTCTAGCTCTTATAGGTTCTGAGATCCTTGCGTTCATACATACGGACAGACGGACAGACAGACAGACTAAATCGACTCGGCTATTAATGCTGATCAAGAATATATGTACTTTATGGGGTCGGAGATGCTTCCTTCTGCCTGCTACATACATTTGCACAAATACATTATACCCTCTTTACCCATTTTCAATGGGTTCAGGGTATACAAAATGAAAATTGCTGTTGATTTTTGAACCGGCAACCTACCACTTAAGGGGAATCTTCAATTAGAATTCAGCCTAAGACTGACCAATAAATTAGTCAGACAGTCAGGCCGAACCCTTTTAAATACGAACAGCAAATCTAACAATTGAAAGTAACCGCTTGTTGGTCACGCAGACAACACAACTATATCTAAATTGTCTTTGATGCTTTTCATACAAGCTTTAGCGACCGTCTTCCCTCAATTGGCGATGGACTATTACAAAAGTCCGTCTCTACTTTCGAGCCTTACGTAGCCTAAAGTTGGTCAGTCAGTCAATAACCTTTTTTTTATAGATATAAATAGGTTGTACGTACCGCACTGCCTGCATCCAAATCGGACAGCTGACGCACCACAATATCAATTAGCACCTTAATGTCATTGGTATAAAACATGCCGGCCGTATCCGGATGGCTGAATATGTCAATAAACATGCGCAGCACCGTATTCATATGCTGATTATGATGCTTCAGCAGACGCGTCGGATCATCTGTCGCAAATTGGAAAACGGAATTGAGTTAAGCATAATAATGCAGAAAGGAGTCGCTTACCCTCTCGATTGAGCAGCAGCAATAGCTTCTCGGTGAACACCTTGGCCGTGGGCAGATTTTGCATGGCCTCGATGATCACATTGACCGTATGCTCACCAAATTGTTGATTGAAGGCAAGTATGAGGGCAATTACCATATCCACCAGCAGCTCCGGATTGTTGCCCTCAACAATTTCCAGCAGAAAACTGGCAAAGTGCACGCCCAAATAATCTGCAAGGACATATTGAAGAGTTTTTAAATATGAATACATCAAAGAGTATAAACAATTTATAACATTCGCATTGGCTTTTCTTAACTTACTTAACTAGTTTCTAAAAGAAGAGTCTGGCAAGGTCGTTATTCGTAGATTATAGAAGACGACACACTTTCCCCAAGTCCAACCGTTGGCAGTTTCCGTAATCAACGCACACACAGACGAATGGACCCTAGAGGCGGACGGACGGACGGACTCAAGTTTTATCTCGATCAAGAATAAGCACTTTTATTTTATGGCATACAAACTTCAATTTTTACCCATTTTAGGTGGGTTTAGTTTATGAAAAGAAATATTTGTAATCGCGTTGCATATCGATTTATTTGTATTTATTTTGTTGGTTTTTGTATTTCTTCTGGAAGGTCAGCCGGTACAGGAGCAGATGGCGGTTCGTGTTGCGCGTCCTCAAGCCGCAGCGACGCTCCGTTACTTTATCTTCTTACGGACTCAATTTAAGTTTCCTCCTCCTCGTCCTCTTCCTCGTCATCCTCGTCCTGCTCGCCCTCCGAGTGAGACTCGCTGGTCGGGGTGCCCGTGGTATCGGAGCTGGTGTCGGTGTCGCTCTCACCGTCCTCCATGGTCTGCACTGCCTGGGCGTGGACAGTCGAAACGTTGTCCATTTTGGGCAACTTCTGCTTCTTCTTAAGCTCCTCCAGCTTCCTTTTGTCAGCTGTGGCTTCTTTCACATTTGGACTTGTGGATGGATCGACGGACGGGTCCACAGTTGTATCAACGGTTAGGTCCACGATGGGATTAACGGACGGATCCACAGAAGGATTCACGGATGGGTCAGCGGATGATGGATTCTCAGTTGGATTCATTTTAGGTAAGCACCTTATGTTTAATCATTGACGAGAAATAAAAAACAAGCACTCAATTTCGTCGTTACGAGAAAACTAAACACAGACTCACTTATTCAATTCTCTACGGGAAAAACTATTAGCTTTTCTTGCTTTGTTTGTCTTTTTCTTTGAGAAAAATTGAATTTTTTAGTTCTGCTCTCAACTCGACTGAGATCAAATCACAAATGAAATGTTTTTATAGCTTGAGACGAGAGTCAAAACTGTTGGCAAAGAAAAAAATGCCCGGCCAACTTGATGTTCAATAAAAAGTATTGTAAAACGCGTAAACAGTGCTGTCTAATAGTGTTGATAAACCGTTTCAGATATGTTCTTCCTATGAGTTATAATATTCAAAGTCTTAATCTAACTAAAAACTGTTTTGGACTTGTCGAATGTAAAATCAAGTGTGGAAAATTCATAAAAAATAAATATATTCAACTCTTTTGATCGGATCCAAAACATTTTCAAAGATCTCTGTGAAAACTCATTGAAAAAAACCTCACCAAATGTATAATGCGATACAAAGCTTCTACGAACTAAAGTTTTTCCGGTTTCAGGCTCATTTCCAAAGTCCTACATTGTTTAAGAATACGTATTGCACCGATTTTCGGTTCATAGCTGGATAACGCTCGTCGGCATATAACATATTTATAATTCATTTGTCGGAAGCTTTAAATATTCAGTCTGATGCGATTTTGGTGTGGGAACCAGAAATTGGTTGGCACACGTTGCCAAAGTTTGTCGTTTAGGCTCGTGATATCAAGCTTTATAATTACAAAATCAATAAAAATCGATTAAAAGCGGCCCTCACACAAATATGCAATTATTGCTAAGCATTGCCAATTGGTTGCAAGTTGGCTAAACCGAGGACACCTTTTTATAGAACTATAAAGGTTAAAAGTACACAAACATTTTAAATGTACAGATGAGAAAGGTCGCCAAGTGACCAAGTGACAAGTCAGAGAGAATTGCGAATATCTACCCAAAAATATCTATCTATATAGAGCTATTAAATATAGATACGGCAAACGTCAGGCACAAGTCTTAAATCTATATAGCTTAATGCTAGGAAACACGCACCCTGATGATTCACGGGCATGGGCTGGCCCAGCGAGAAGATGATGGTTAACATTTTCACCAGCTGCTTAAAGCGATCCAAATTGGCAAAGTGCGTCTTCATATCCTCCACCTGAAATGGGAAACAAGCTAATCAATCTGATGTGATCAAATGGCTGGCAATGCACACTCACAATCTCCAAAGGCAGCACCGAGGTTAGCAGTATGTCAACAATGATGTGATCCAAGTGGCAGGCAGCTGTGAAAGTCTTGAGCAAGAGTTGTTTGATGGACCAACGTGTCTCCATCTGATAGTATTGCACCAGATTGATGAACATCTGATATTGATCGCACGACATCTCGTAGCAGCTGATGTTCTCATCAGCGTTATTCTGCAAAGACAGAAAACGGCAGCCGAGATAATCGGCCGATATGTATAAATATATATATATATATATATATATAGGTCGATATATATAATATAAATATATCTGTCTGTTTCTACTCAATGTCATGAATTCTGACGAGAGACTAGTTTAAGTAGAAACAGACAGACAAACGCAGAAGGCTTTTATAGACACGACTGCTAATACGGATCAAGAATATATATATATATATATATATATATACAATATGAAGTCTGTGAAGTCTTCTTCTAAGCGTCATTTGACAAATTTTATAATAACCTACAAAAGGCTATCAGCATCGACATGCGAAATTTGGTGTATTCAGTTCGTATGTCTTTAAACTGTTTATGCCAAAATATCTGGACTGAAAATCGATATTTATCGATTTTGGCGCAACGGTAGAGGTTCGAGAATGAAATTAGTTTTATATGAGCTTAGTATGTGAGAACTTTCATATCACATTTTATGTCTCGTGTTTTGATCTCCACGAAAGGCACATACATATAATCGATATTTATCGTTTGGACAAATGGGCAAAGCTATCGGACGTAGAATGCATTTGATCTGTAAGCGAGACGCTATATGCCAAGCTTACATAATCACAAGCAGAGGGAGATGGCTACATCGATGCATATCAATAAATATTATGGGGTCAAAGATGTCTCCTTCTATCTGCTTCATACATAAGCATAGCACACTTATTTCTAATCATTTCTGATCCTTTTCTCTTAAACAACAAAATTCGCAACTAATTCAGCGAATGTTTGGTCCCTATTTCTGCTCACCAGTATTTCGACGAGCTCCTCGAGAAACTGTATAATGTCCTCCTCGTCCTCGTACAGCATCCAGGTGCGCTGTTCCGTATCGTTCTTGCAGTCGGCCAGCTGGGCGAATAGATATTGCAGTCGCTTGGAGTCGTGCGTAATGCCCAGCAGCTCTTTGGGTGTGGCCACCTTGCCGGTGACATGCACGGCAACTGCCTCCAGATACGGATTGATGGCGCCATTGTATAACTGCTCCAAGCTGGTTAGGACCACGCGCAACGCCTCGCAAGACAAATCGAAGCTTAAATTCGTATTGCGACGCAAGGCATCCACAATCTGATACACATCCGATGATTCCACCTTAAGCTGGCCACGCCCATTGCTGGCGCCCGCCGCCAGAATCACGCCGTGCCGATGCGACAGCGATGCACTCTCGATGCTCTCATCCAACGCCTGGCTATTATCCGCACAGCCATTGCAGCCGTCGTCGCTCGCCTCGGACTTGTCGGGCGCACTGTCCGCGCCCTGGCTGAGGCTCAGGCTGAGCTGATCGTCGTGGATGGCTGTGCCGCCGCCGCCGCTGCCGCCGCCGCCGCTGCTGCCGTTGTGCGGCTTCCCTGCTGCCGCTGCAGATGCTGCTGTTGTTGCGGTTGCCGCTAACACGGCCGCAGCAGCAGCAGCTGTTGATGTGGCTCCGTTGCTGGCACTCAGCTGGCTGGTCTCCTTGTAGGTGGTCACCACATCCTCGCTGGTGGTCGTTGTTGTTGTTGTCGTCTCCGACGGCTCTGAGGTGATGCTGTTGTCCTGCGCCACATCCGAAACGGACGCGGATACCTTTTGCGTTTGCGTAGCGGCTGCTGATGCCGCCGCAGCAGCTGCTGCGGATGTGCTGGCCACCAGTGGAGGCGCCGGCAGCGGTTGCTGCTGCTGCTGCTGCTGAGGCGTTTGTATGGTGCAGCTGCTGCTCGGCAGCTGATGCATGCTGCCCATGCTGGGCGACTCCGGCATCGACTGCTGTGGCGCACTAACGCCCACCGCCGGGCTGGACATGCTCTTCTTGCTCATGTCCAGGCGTTGCATGGCAGGCGGACTATTCTGTTGCGATTTCTGCTGATGCGGATGCGTGTGCGAGTGCCGGTGCGAGTGGCTGTGGCTGCCGCTCAGCTGCTGCTTCTCGCTGTAGCTGTGCGAATAGGACAAGGATGAGTCACCATCACGCTCCGAGCTCTCCTGTTCAAGTTAAACAGAAAATGTGTATATTGATTACATAATTTAAATGGCTAGCCAACAGACCGCATAAAGCCGCTCCATGGTGTGCTTCTTCTCGCGCAGCCTGTCGAGCAGCTCCTCCCTGGACATGATGCCATTTATCTCTGGCTCAGTGCACTTCTCCAGCGACTCAATCGAAGAGTTGAGAAAGCTGATGAGAAAGTCATGTTCCACCTGTGAATAGCAGAATGAACGAATTTGATTAGACTGCATTTGGCCAGGAGGCCAGGAGGCCCGGACGCCTGAAGGCAGGCGACACTTTACCTTTATCTTCATTACGTAATTGGATGGCACAAAGCCAATGTTGCCCTTCATGCTGACCACCTGCCACCAGTTACGCTGACGTGCGGACGTCTGATAGAGTATAAAATATTCGCCCTCATCGAAACTGATTGTTTTCGGATAAACCGCTTGGAAATCGTAGAGTGCCTTCAGCATCTCGATGCCGTTGCCCGTATCGATGCCGCCGCTGCCGCCAACTGCGTCAGTTGCTGGCGCTGCCGCTGCTGCTGCTGTCGTTGCTGCTGCTGCTGCTGCTGTTGTTGTTGTAGGCGATGTTGACGCTGCTGCGGCTGCAACAAAAAACAGAGCAACGTGTCCTTTTAGTTAAGTTCGTTTACAATAAATGCTAAAGGGGCGTAAACAGGACACACACACACACACACACACAGACACACACACAGACACACACACACACAAATAAACAAACACATAAACACACACACGAACAGCAGAGCGCAGCGAGGCGTGTTTCGTGTTGGATGCGTTGCAGGCGGCTGGGCTTTTGCCTGTGCTTGCGGCCCTTCCTGGCAGCCACGCGCTAAAAAGTTCACTGCCGAGGGCCCAAATCGCTGACGGACGCTTTGGCCATGCCGACACACATACCCCTAAACACACACGCACACACACACACACAGAAAGAGAGAGAGTGCGAGGCTCGAGCGCATAAACGAACGGCGCCTGCAGACGACAGTTATAAAAGACACAAACAAGAATAAATACGAAAAAGGAAAAGCGTAAATGCCGAAGAAATTACAATAGCGCACAGGAAAAATGCAATTTTCATTTGCAGTATCCTTGTAAGCCTATTTAGCTGACATTATGTTCGCCCCACACTCGCACACATAAAAAGAAACGACAAAAAAAAAAATGAAATAAAATAACAGGACATGCCACTGGCCCGCTCTCGCGCTCTCAGCGGCTTGCGCTCACGCGCTTGCTTGCTATTTCTTGCTCGCTTGCTCTCTCTCTCTCTCTCACTTACTTGCGCTCTCGGCGTTTTGTATCTAACCCATTCAACTGCCAATTGTTACTGTGACCATTGTCACCAGCAAGCTCGACGACACTCTCCACTACACACACACAGGCACAGGCACAGGTAGCCACATTTAACTACACACATGCAAATTCGTCAAATGTTAAACAGCCCACTTACCCATATTTTTTCCACCACACCTAGGCTTTTTTTTCGCTGTATGTCCCTGCCGTCCTTTTTCTTATTGTTCTTTTTATGCCTGTTCCAGTTTTGACGTTTGCCGTTACCAAGGACGTTACGTTTATTCGACTTATTGTTACACTTTGCGACACTTGGCAACACTGTCTGCTGCCGCTGCTGCTGTTATTGTTATTGTTGTTTCTGTTAATGGGCGTTGTTGACGAGTCTTTCTTGTAGGCAACACTTTATGGCTATAGCTTTGGGCGTGTTCCGTTCCTTGTCAGAAGTATGTATGT